CAAAATTGGGCTTATTGTCTCCTTGAGAGGAGGGAGACACACCACGAAGGATGGGGACACTCAGGAAGAAGGTCCCGGAAAAAAAAAATTTATATATGGGCTTGTGTTAGGTAACTTCAAGGAGTGTTTCAAGGAAGCAGGCCTTCTGTCTAGATTGGTTACTGTTTTGAGGTGGTGGTACTTCTGTGATGGGGTATTTTAATAATTCTTATTTAAAAAGGGAGAAGAGCCAAGAGAAGCTAAAACTATGATTGGTTATGAAGCAGTCCCTCCTGTTAGCCAAGACAGGGAGATTTGTTTTTTGTGTGCATATGTGATTGGGACAATGTTCTTTGTTTGTTTGTTTGTTTGTTTTTAGACATGATTATGGAGTGGTTTTGTTTTTGTTTTAATTCATCTTGACCAGAGTGGCTTTGTCCGATTTTGGTGGTCTATAAAATTGTTTATGTTCAACGGGGCAGTACATCCCAGTTTATGGTACCAGCCTAATTCCCACTATCAGGGGTTGCTTTTCTCCTTTTCACTGTGCTTCATATCACTTAATACATGTGTTCTACTTTAGGCCTCAAAACAACTATGTGAGACAATCCATAGACATTTAGTAATCTAAGCTTGGCAGGTAAAATTAGGTCACTGCCTCTAAGGAGTTTACAGCTTATGAGAACACTTTATTAGCCCCTTTTTTTGAGTGAGGAAACTGTGCTTTCATGGCACTGATTAGTCCAAAATCACAGCCAGCAAAAGAGGGAACCTGGGGATCCAAGTCCAGACAATCTGATGTCAGCAGCTGCCCCTTTACCATCCCGAGAATCGGCATCCCTATGGAGGCTGCAGTAGCTGGAGATGACTGAGGAGGCACTGCAGCCTCCTTAGGGCCAGATAATTCTTTGTTGTTGGGAGTTCTGTGCATAATAGGATGTTTACCAGCATCCCTGGCCTCCATCGTGTCAGTGGCACCCTGCTCCTAGTTGTGACAACCAAAAATGTCTCCAGACATTACCAAACCACCTGTGGTTGAGAGCCACTGGTGTCTACCATTTATCTCCTCCTGGGTCTTTGAGAGGTAACAAACATTTGGGGCATGAAAATCCCCAAACCATTTTGAATGGGGAGATCTTGAAAAGAGAGAGAAACAGTGTGCCTTAGGTTTTGGAAAGCCTATTCAACTAGAAAAATGAAGACTGAGACAAAGCATAGACAAAGGAAGTGGGGAAAAAACAGAGAAGTGATCAAAGTGGAGAGGAGCTCTTAGGAAATCACCCTTCAGTTATTCAGTTCACACTAACAAAGACACAAAAAGTCTTAATGAGGCCTCATAGGACCTCTGATCCATGTTTGGGAAATGCTAGTATGCTTAGCAAATAGTCTTGACCACTTTTCTGAAAAGATTTCTTTTCCATTACAACGTGGTCCCAAATCTGACCTCCCTGAGCTGGCAACTTGCAAGAGACTCTTCAGAGATTTCAGGTATCCCCCAAGGTAATAGCTTGTTTTTCAGGAAAACCAAGATTCCCTGGGGAGCTGACAAAAATCACAAAGTAATGGCAGCTAAGCTTTTCCAGGTTTTCGAAGAGATAGATCCTACTTAGAGTAAGCTAGTAAGTAAGAGTATCAACACAAATAATCACTTGTGTCTTCCTAACCTCTTTCATCTAAGAATCTCTGCAAAATATATAGACATTTATTAATTTTCTTCTCATTACAGTGAGGGAAATCGTTGTGATTTTTCTGTTTTATAGATACAGAAGCCAAGTTATGGAGTCCACAAAGAATAGTGAGAAATCCAGAAATAGACTATTGGTATATTCACTCTGGACCATTCTTGATGCTCAGTACCACTCCAGATCTCCAGCTACTCAATATAAAGGTAATGATAATCCTTCAAGTATATACAAAATTTTATGTTTTCATAGGCTTTAAAATAATCCATAGTGTTGGGGCACCTGAGTGGCTCAGTTGGTTAAGCATCCGACTCTTAATTTTGGCTGTCATGGTTCATGGGTTCGAGCTCCGCTTTGGGCTCCACACTGGCAATGCAGAACCTGCTTGACATTCTCTCTCTCTCTCTGAAAATAAATGAATAAAATAAACTTTAAAATAATCCGCAGTCTCTTCACTTGGCCCATAAAATAGCAGGCCTATAGAGGCTATGACTTAAAGAAAATTTAACAGTGATAGTATTTGAACCGGAACCCAGAGCTCATGATTCTTAATCCTGTACTCCTTCTGCTTGGTAAGCAAGCCCATATATCCTTGTAGGTGATACTTAATTTACAGAAAACATAAGATATTCTAATCCATATAGAAATCCAAACCTATGCAACCCTTTCATCTATTTGCACATTATGTGGAGTTCTTTTAAGAGTTAGCTTGGTGAAGAAAGAGAACAGTCACTGAGATATTAATAAAAAGCATCTGGCAACTCTGAAATTAAATTAATCTTTGGGTTGCTGTAGTAAGCAGAAGGCATAGTGAGGCTCCCTGCAAGGAAGTCTTGAATAGAATTAACCTTTAGGAACTAAATTAGTAGAAATGAATTATTAATTAGTTAACCATATATAAAAATGACTTGTAAAATAATGTGTCACTGAGGAGATTTAGGAATTATCAATTCTAAGAAAGTTAACCAGGCTGTAGTCTAATGACAATACATCTCTAAATACTGTCATTATGTTAATGATTC